TTTTTTTTTTTTTTTTTTAATTACAACTGCTGTCCATTCTTTACAAACGACAGTTCTGCAGGAAAAAATAATAATAAAATAAAAAATCATGGAATAAAATCAAACCTAATGGAACCCACAAAACGACAAAAACCAAAGTTAATCCATGAGTGGTCCTTCTTTTATAGTCCTCCGCCGGCCTTTCTACGGCCAACTTCATTTCGCTCCCAGCTTCTGAAACTATGGGCGGCCGGAATTATGATATTTCTGAAACTTCCGGCCACCAAATTCCGTTCATCGAGTTAGGCGATGATCCCCGCAAGCCCAAAACAAATTATTTTGCTTCTTTTTGTGCAATCGTTGCTTCCATGTCTTCCATTTTGGGCGGTTACGGTGAGAAACTTAGCTTCCTTCCTCTCAATTCTTCACCTCTTTCTCTTAATCTCTGCATATTTCTACAGATATTGGTGTAATGAGTGGAGCGTCCATCTACATCCAACAGGATTTCCTGATCTCCGATGTTCAGGTGGAAATTCTGGTCGGAATCGTCACCCTCTACGCCGTTATCGGCGCCGCAGCGGCTGGCAGAACCTCCGATTGCTTCGGCCGTCGGTCCACCATGATTTTCGCCGCCGGCTTCTTCTTTGTCGGAGCCATTCTAATGGGGTTCGCCCCAAATTACGCCTTCCTCATGTCCGGCCGATTCTTCGCCGGCGTCGGCATCGGATTTGGCTGCTTGATTGCCCCTGTTTTCATCGCTGAGGTTTCTCCCACATCCTCTCGCGGCTGCCTCTCCACTTTCCCGGAGGTCGGTTGTTCAATTTTAAGTACGAAAAGATATCTTATCTTTTGGTTTTGAAATTTTAAGGAGCTTGAATTTGTCACAGATATTTGCTAATGTCGGCATCTTACTCGGATACATTTCGAATTTCGCATTCTCCGGCTTCCCAACTCATCTGGGGTGGCGATTTATGCTCGGAATTGGCATAGTTCCGTCGGTGTTCTTAGCAGCCGCCGTGATTCTCGTAATACCGGAGTCCCCACGGTGGCTGATAATGCAGGGCCGAATCGGCGAAGCCAAACAAGTCCTAATCAGAACCTCAGATTCCATCGAAGAATCTCTCCAGCGGCTCGCCGATCTAAAAACTGTCGTCGGAATTCCAGAGAGATGCGAAGACGACATCGTTCAAGTCCCAAAACAGAGGAGCCATGGGAGCAGCGTTTGGAAGGAGCTCTTCCTCTGCCCGACGCCGGCTATCCGCCACATCCTTATCACTGCTGTCGGCGTCTATTTCTTTGCAGAGGCGACCGGCATGGGCGCCGTCGTTTTGTACAGCCCCAAAATCTTCGAGAAGGCCGGAATCTTATCCTCGGAGCACAAGCTTCTCGCGACGGTGGGGGTCGGCCTGGTGAAGACCGTCTTCGTCTTGATCGCCACCGTCTTGCTCGACCGGGTTGGACGGCGACCGTTGATTCTGACGAGCATCGGTGGTCAAGTTATTTCGCTGATTGCGTTAGGTGCCGGTCTCACGATTATTGAGAAGTCGGACGAACAAGTGACGTGGGCGGAGGGGCTGTGCATTGCAATGGTGTTATTCGACGTGGCATTTTTCTCAATTGGATTGGGGCCCATGTGTTACGTCAGCTCGGAGTTTTTTCCGTTGAAGTTACGCGCCCAAGGGACGAGCGTGGGGTTCATCACAAATTCAACCATGGGCGCAGTTGTTGCAATGACGTTTCTGTCCCTGTCTAGGGCGATTTCAATTTGTGGTGCATTCTTCTTCTATGCGGGCATTGCGACAGTGGGTTGGGTGTTTGTTTATGTGGTGTTCCCAGAGACACGGGGCCTGGATTTGGAGGATGTGGAGGGGCTTTTTGGTAATTTGATGTGGAAATTTTCTGTCAAACACCGAGATATTAAAAATTAAAAAAAATCTTAATTACCTACCGAGTATTTAAATGTAAATATTCCTTCTAACGACTATTACATGCCTGTGATGATTATCGTGTGAAAAATTATTTAAAAACAATTCGTTTTAGACATTGCTAGGGACTTGAGTGTTCTTAAGCTCTTTCAAACACAATAATAGCATCATAATAATTCTATAGTTGAAAATTGAAAAAAATATCATCATTTTCAAAACTTTGATAAAATAAAAACGATGACTTAGATGTAGAAATCTAACTATTGTGACTTGGTTTCCACGTGTCCACCATGCATGTCACACCCGAGTAAAAGAGGGTTAACGAATGAACCATTACCACATTCGACTGAAAGCGATTATAAGGATAGTATAGTCAAAAAAAAAATATTAAAAGAATTGTAAGTCATTATTTGTGTCAACAAGGTGCATATTCTTTTTTGGTGGCTTAATGATGTTGGATGATGAAAGTCCCACATCGGTTAATTTAGGGAATGGTCATAGATTTATAATCTAAGAATACACTCTTCATTGGAATGAGGCCTTTTGGGGAAGCCCAAAGCAAAGCCATGAGAGCTTACGCTCAAAGTGGACAATATCATACCATTGTGGAGAGTCGTGTTCGTCTAACATGGTATCAGAGCCATGCCCTAAACTTAGCCGTGCCAATAGATTGGCAAATCCTCGAATGTCGAACAAAGGACTCCAAAAAGGAGTCAAGCCTCCTTGAAGGTACGAAGGCAGTCAAAAATGACTAAGACTCCAAAGGAGTCAAGCCTCGATTAAGGGGAGGCGTGCTTTGTTCGAGGGGAGGTGTTGGATGATGAAAGTCCCACATCGGTTAATTTAGGAAATGGTCATGGGTTTATAATCTAAGAATACACTCTCCATTGGTATGAGGCCTTTTGGGGAAGCCCAAAGCAAAGCCATGAGAGCTTACACTCAAAGTGGACAATATCATACCATTGTGGAGAGTCGTGTTCGTCTAACAAATGATACGAATATAACCACATACTATATATAAATATCTATCTTATATTTCTCTACCATCTTCTTATTAAATCATTGTTTACTACCACAATTGCAAAAGCTATAAATAGGCATCATTCTCCATATCCCAACAATTCTCACTATTGGAGACTCAGTCAAACGAACAATTTCATTTTCAAACTATTATCATCATCTTCAGTGCACCCATACTAATCCACGCTTTGCACAGCCTCAGTGTTCCAACATCAACCCATTTTGTTAGCATGTTTGGTGGATTCTTTGCACTTCTATCTTCTCAAAACAAATCATCATCTTTCACTAACCTGCAAGTGAAATAGTATAGGCTTCTGTGTTTTATCTTTGAATGATAGACTGAGTTTCTCACCAATTATATGATACATTAACTGTCTGTATAAAGAATCTTCTCGTGTTACTTTTGTCCAATTCTTCTAGAGAGTATGTCATCCATATCATCTCCTTTCCAGCTTCAACTATTTCCACGTACTCAGGCTCAATAGATGAAAGAGAACAAATTTCTGAAGCCTAACATCCCTTGGGATTTACGCCCTAAAGCCTCATAATTAATTATTTAGTTTTTAACAATAATTTTTAATATTTTATTTGTAATTTAATTGTTATCCATTGTATGAAAATCGAAAGTTATTAATGTAATTATGAACCGTATGTAGTTTACATACAAAGGATTTTGTTCAAGTAATAACCAAAAGAGTCTATAGCATATAAATAAAGTTTGGTGCCTTATCCGGGTAACACTATTGATATGGCTCACTTTGTAATCGTTACAAATGATTTGATCCAAATATGTGGAGACATGTAAGTGGGGTATCATGTACATGAGTTTGTACAATACTGACGAAGAAATATTTAATCTTTCTTTATAAATCCGTTAATTGAGAAAATTAATATTTCACATGATGATCATATGCGACTCGATTTTAATCCTGAGTGAGTTATGAACTCCAGTCGTTGAGGGCTTGTTCTTTAATTTACATAGGTGAGAATGGCTCTGTTAGCCGATTCAATATGTTTACCATTTTGGGGACTTTGACCAAATAGGAAGTTGGGAACATAATATCTTGAGATGGAATTTGCGCCTTTCCATCTTAGGAAAGTAGATGAGTTGTTCTATTAAGTACTGATTTCGGGACTTGAACAATGGGACCTCATCCTCTCATTGGCCCGAGAAGGACTTGGTTTATGATTGGATTATAAACCAATTGTTTATTAGAGAATCAGTGGTATTTAAGGTGAAAGATGTAATTATAATGGTAAAATGAATTTTTGACCCATAATTATGAACAACTTGTAAATGATCGACTTGCTTGTAATGGTTATATCATGGACATATCTTGTCTTACCGTGCATAAAAGTGCAACTTTAGGTTTATAATGGAGTGACCTATGGTTAATAAATATAAATTAATTAATTAAACTCTAAATTGATTAGTGAAAGAGTTTAATTAATTTTATAGTATTGGAGCTTATAATCTTCAGATCCATAAAGTTCCATTGATAGCTTCTAATAACTCTAAAATGATGATCAATTTATTTGAAAGAAAATTTGAAGGGTTCAAATTGATATTTAATATATTAGATATATTAAATATAGAGGAGAAAATAAATTTAATTTAAAATGTAAAATTAATATTTAATATATTATATATATTAAATAAATAAATAAAATATATTTAATTTAAAATATTAAAATTAATATTTAATATATTAGATAGGTTAAATATAAATTGAGAAAAATATATTAATTTGAAGGTTCCGGTTAATATTTAATATATTAGACATATTATAGGAAAAATATATTTATTGTAGTGATACAATTAAATATTAAATCGATTAATGTGTTTTGATACCTTAAATAAAAATATATTTGAAATTTGAATGAGATTAAATTAGTTAAATATATTAAGATATCTTATAATATTGAAATATGATTTGGGTAAAATATTATATCCTAATATATAATATATTATTTTGGCAAAGATTCTCCAAGAGTCTCTATAAATAGAACCCTCGGGTTAACCAAAGATATATCGATCTCTCTTAAAGAAATTACAAGAATTTTTGAAACCCTCTTCTTCAATCCCTTTGGGATTTTCTTTCAAGAGTCTCCCACAAGCCGACCTTGTATTCGAGTCATAGTAAAGAAGATTTTGTGGAATGTTTGACCTTGTGTTCGAGTCATAGTAGAGAAGATATTATGGAATGTTGAATAACTTCTACATGGTTGGAATACTTCAATGAGTCTTGAAAGCTAGGGTTTTTATAAATGTAGAGTTTTTACTCTCGTATTTATTGGTTTTCTTTTAATTCATAATAAAATCAAAACGGTTCTCAATACTTCCGTTACATGGATGAAGAGTTCATTCCCTTCAATCCTATCATTCATGGTTTGCTCCTACTTGGTTGTATCCCCGAATTGTAGGGTCTCATCAAAGACTCTAGTTCCCATTCATCAGCAGCAACCGTGTGTATTGAAGGTACATACCTATTTAGTACTCTGTTAGTTTTGGATGATCTTTTCAACACCTGCTCAAGTGTCACTTGTTCTATCTTTCGTTCCTTAACAACAGTCTTAGAAGTTCCTAGAGTATCTGCTACAACATCACTAAGTGAATTTTTCCGCAACTCAACCTACTTGCTTCGTTATCCTAGAACCCCTCTTCTCTTTCTCCTTGTATAAGATATTTTCATAAAAAATCATGTCATAATGTCTCACGATTCTCTTGTTCTTGGCATCTCAAAACTTGTACCTGAACATATTATAATCATAGCCGACGATTTTTCGTACATATTCGACAACATGTTCAACAAATCTGACATTGTCTTCTCCTTAATGATGTTAAACGCTACGTTTCTGGTCAGCATCAACCAAATCAATCCTAGGGCCTAACGATCCTTGAGCTTTCGCTACTCTATGGTCATGATATCCTGCTTCATCCCCAATAGGGGTTTGTGAAAATCTTTCTAGTACAGATAATCTTAAATTTGCATCTTTTAGAAATAAAAATCGGATTCATTGAACTTCTCAATTCCAACATTTGAACTTTTCATCTTCATATATTGTAGTGTAGCTCTAATACCAGTTGTTAGGATCGCACAACAACGCACACACTCAATCTAGATGAACACAAAGATTAGGAGAGAGAAAATTTTAATTTGGTATGTGGGTTGAAATCTGACTTTACTAACTCGAAAATAGATTTTGCAACCCAACCCTACTCTACTTTAAAGATTGTTATGAATATTAAGAATATTTGACCGTTGTTATAGATATTAATAATGTATTATAAATCGAGAAAGTTTAGTATTTGAGTTTTCCAAATAATGAATAATTTTCAAATTTAATAATAAAAATTAGGTGGAAATTGGAGGGAGAAATTTGGAAAATATTAAATTGAATTGTACACGCCACCCACGTGCATTTGTGAAATAAATAAAGTAAAATAGTTGTCACCTAAACTCATCTCTTCCTACTCTGCCTCAAACCTGTCCTGTTTAATTTGAATCGCCGCAGCTTATCCAGATAACCAAATATGGGTGGCCGGCAAGATGACGTCACTGCAACTTCCGGCCTCCAAATTCCGTTGATTAGATCCCTCGATCCTCCGAGAAAGCCCTCAAGGAATAGATTTTCTTCTCTATGCGCAATCATGGCTTCCATGTCTTCCGTCTTGCTCGGTTACGGTTAGAAATTTTACTTCCTTTCTCTGTTCTTCCTCCTTTTTTCTCAATGCTTTTCCATTTTCAAACAGATATAGGTGTAATGAGTGGAGCCGCAATCTACATTCAACAGGATTTCGAGATCTCCGATGTTCAGGTTGAAATTCTGGTCGGGATCATTAACCTCTACGCCACTATTGGCGCCGCCGCCGCCGGTAGAACCTCAGACTGGATTGGCCGCCGCTACACCATGGTTCTCTCCGCTGGCTTCTTCTTCGTCGGAGCTATTCTCATGGGGTTTGCCCCTAACTACCCCCTTCTCATGTCTGGTCGATTCGTCGCCGGGATCGGCATCGGATATGCCTCATTGATTGCCTCTGTTTACACCGCCGAGGTTTCTCCAGCGTCTTCTCGCGGCTCTCTCTCCTCTTTTCCGGAGGTTCGTTCTAGGATTAACAGAGATTTATGTTTTGACTTTGCTGATTTGGAATTGCAATTAGGGCTCAATTCTGTTCTTATTAGTTCTAGATTTCAATCCATCACAAAATTGAAGCGATTTTCGCCTAATTGTTGCAGTTTTTTCTAAATGTCGGAATCTTGCTCGGTTACGTTTCCAATTATGCGTTCTCCAAGTTCCCACTTCAACTGGGCTGGAGATTTATGCTCGGAATCGGCTTATTCCCCTCCCTATTCTTGGCCGCCATCGTCATTTTTGTAATGCCGGAATCCCCACGGTGGCTGGTAATGCAAGGCCGACTCGGCGAAGCCAAACAAGTCCTCAACACAACCTCAGATTCCATCGGAGAGTCTCTACAGCGCCTCGCCGACATCAAAAAAGTTGTTGGAATTCCGGCCAGTTGCGATGACGACGTCGTTGAAGTTCCAAAACAGAGCACCCACGGCGGCGGCGTATGGAAAGAGCTCTTCCTCCACCCAACGCCGGCCGTACGCCACGTCTTGATCACCGCCGTCGGCGTCCATTTCTTCCTAGAGGCGACCGGTATGAACGCTGTCGTATTGTACAGCCCAAGAATCTTCGAGAAGGCCGGAATCGCATCCTCCGACCATAAGCTTCTAGCGACGGTGGCTGTCGGCGTGACGAAGACGGTGTTCATCTTGGTAGCTACTGTCCTGTTCGACAGAGTTGGACGGCGGCCGTTGATTCTGACGAGCGTGGGAGGAATGATTATATCGCTAGTTACCTTGGGGATTGGGCTGACGATTATTGAGCGGTCGCACGAGGAAGGCACGTGGGTAGTGGGGCTTTGCGTTGGGATGGTCTTAGCCGACGTGGCGTTTTTCTCTATGGGGATGGGGCCCATGGGTTTCGTCAGTTCCGAGATTTTTCCGTTGAAGCTACGCGCTCAAGGGGTGAGCGTGGGAATGGTGGTGAATAATGCTGTGGGGTCAGTTGTGTCAATGACGTTTTTGTCCCTGTACCATGCGATTACGATTGGTGGTGCGTTTCTCCTCTACGCCGGCGTCGCGACGGTAGGTTGGGTGTTTTTCTATGTGGTGTTTCCGGAGACTCGGGGAAGGAATTTGGAGGAAGTTGAGGGGCTTTTTGGTAATTTGCTGTGGAAATTTTCTACAAAGAAAGATGATAATACAGACGTGGAAAATAGTTGAAATTGTTAGAAATAAAGTTTTTTTTTTTTTTTTTTTTTTTTGCAAAAGAAAATTTTAAATTTTGAATTATCATATGGCTATTAATAATTCTGTATCTAATTTTTTGTCATATATTCCATATTTCCTAATTCAATCTAGCATCTTAAACACTAAATAAAATATATTTTAAAGTTTAGAAATTAATTAAAAAATACCTATTTAGAAATCTCACTAATTTATTTTGTTTTTAATAAAATATGTATATCTTTTTTAAATTTGAATTTATTAAAGTTTGCAAAAAAATCATAAATTCTAAAAAAAATAATGAATATTTAAATCTTTATCCTTTTCCCCGAACAACTCCTTCGTCTTCACTCTGAACCAGCAACCCTTCCCACCGCCTTAAAAGAACTGACCACCAAACTCCACCGCCCAGCCACCGTGGATGAGTGACCTGAAAGATGCAAGTTCCGGCAGAACAAGTCCGGCGGATTTGGGTCCTCACCCGAAGTCCAAAGCGAAAATGAACAAATTCGCTATTCTCTGCGCAATTTTAGCTTCCATGTCTTCAATCTTACTTGGTTACGGTGAGAAAAACACACCCATCTTAAAAATTAACCCATCTCTGTTTCAATCATTTCGTTAATTTTTTCGATCTGAAGCAGATACCGCGGTGATGAGCGGAGCTGCAATTTACATCAAAGACAATTTCAAGCTCTCGGAGGTGCAGGTAGAAATTCTGGTCGGAATAATCAACCTGTACTCGCTGATCGGCGCTGCCGCCGCCGGAAGAACTTCGGATTTGATTGGGCGTCGGTACACGATGATGTTGGCCGGGGTGATCTTCTTCGTCGCTGCCGTGCTGATGGGATTCGCCCCCAACTATGGGTTTCTGATGTTTGGAAGATTTGTGGCCGGAATCGGCGTCGGATATGCTCTGATGATCGCTCCGGTGTATACGACGGAGGTTGCTCCGACTTCTTCTCGTGGATTTCTCACCTCGTTTCCGGAGGTCCGTTTTCCATTTATTAATCTGATCTTACGGATTTCTCTGTGAAATAATAATTTCAAATCTGAAAATTTTAATTTTTTTCCTCTTTTTTCAACTTTTTTTTTTATTTAATTATTTAGATTTTCTAATTACATCAAATTATATAACCCATTTACTTAGTAAACAAAATGGTGGGAGTGTTGCAACTTTCAAAGGAGTTAGACATGCATATCTAGTCTTGGACCCACCAGAGATTGTGCAATAGATCGAAGAATAGTAAATTAAATAAGAAGGTGATAGGATGTAAATGAACTATTTATATCTATATACTAACACTAAGAATCTTCTAAAACCATTTTTTCTAAGTTTATGTATATTTTTAAAATGTGATATTAACGATTTTATCCATATACTAACAATCAGTATTTTTCCGGCAACAATGGTGTCCCTAAACTATGCTCCATATACATATATATATATACATATACTCACATAACATCTAAAAAAATGGTTTGATTGAAAGGTGTTCATAAATGGTGGAGTATTGCTAGGCTACGTTTCCAACTACGCATTCTTCAAGCTACCCACTCACCTGGGATGGCGATTCATGCTCGGAATCGGCGTCTTCCCCTCTGCCCTTCTCATTCTCATCGTTCTCATCATGCCTGAATCCCCTCGGTGGCTCGTCATGCAAGGCCGCCTCGCCGACGCCACCTCCGTTCTCCGCCGTACCTCCGACTCCCCTCACGAAGCCCAACTCCGCCTCGCCGACATCAAACAAGCTGCCGGAATCCCTCCCGACTGCACTGACCACGTCATCCATCTCCCCAAACGCAGCCGTAGTGGCAAAGGCGTCTGGAAGGATCTCTTCCTCCGCCCAACGCCGACCGTCCGCCATATCCTGATCTCCGCCATCGGCATCCACTTCTTCCAGCAAGCCTCCGGCATCGACGCTGTAGTCCTCTACAGTCCAAGAATCTTCGAACACGCCGGGATCACCTCCTCCAACCACAAGCTTCTGGCGACTATGGCCGTTGGATTCTCGAAAACAATCTTCATCTTAGTCGCGACGTTCCTCCTCGATAGAATCGGACGGCGGCCGCTGCTCCTAGCCAGCGTTACCGGCAAGATAGTATCGCTTGTAACCCTAGGGATCGGGATCATGATTGTGAACAGGAGGCGGTGGGCCGTTGGATTGTGCATTGCGATGGTTTTATCGGACGTGGGGTTTTTCTCGATTGGAATGGGGCCAATCGCGTGGGTTTACAGTTCCGAGATATTTCCGTTGAAGCTACGCGCCCAAGGCGTGAGTGTGGGAGTGATTGTGAACAGATTAACCAGTGGGGTTGTTGGAATGACGTTTATATCCCTCTACCAGGCCGTAACTATCAGTGGGGCTTTTTTTCTCTTCGCCGGCGTCGCCGTCGTGTCGTGGTTGTTCTTTTACTTTGTTCTGCCCGAGACTCACGGCCGGACATTGGAGGAGATAGAGGGGCTTTTTGGTAATTTTCTGTGGAAGTTTGGGAAGAATGGAGATGTTAACGTGGAGAAGAGTGAGGGTGAGGTTCAGTTGGGATTATCTAATCCGACGGTGTAGGTTTGTCGAGATAAAATGTAAAAAACAGTAAAAAAGTTGGGGGAGTAAAAAGGGAAGGATAAGAAGGTAAGTTCTCCTTTTCTTAATACTAAATAATATATATTTTTGAAGTACGGCTGTTAATTTTTTTTTTTTTTTTTGATGTTATTTATTAGATCTTTTTGCATAGCGTTCTTCCAATAGCATAAATGTCATATATAGGTTCTCAAATCGTTAAACATGCCTATAAGGTCATTCATATACATAAATCATGTTTAGTTTCACCATCGTCCTTTCTTAGCAATGGATTTGGCGATGGTGTGATACTCACCCTCAACACTAATTGAGTCAAGCCAACTTCGAACCATATTGCCTACAGTCGGGCAATGTGCGTTCAAACCTCGGGTCCCATTTTGAAGAGAAGATTTTAGAAAATGGGGAGAGAGGTTTAAGAAAAAGAGTTTTGGAAGCAAGAATGAGAAAGATTGAGAGTGGTGTTATATAGCATGCAAGCAAAAATGCAACAACGACTTAAAACACTTGCCATGGACTTGTGTGTTTTGAAAACACTTTTAAAAACGACACAACAAAAGAATAAATAAAATAAATAAACGTTTAAATAAAAAGCATCATATTCTAGCTTAAGTCTAAGAAAATAATACGACTACCCTATGCATGTGTCATGGTCTCGAGTTACGATGTCGTCGTCAGCCGTACATGAATGTTTTGCCTTAACCTGAAAAATGTAATAGCACATGACTTGATTATTTAAAGAAATACTCATTTAGTGACCTCATTATTGGGATTAAATGCAACAACATGTGAATGCAATGACGAGACATATCATTTTTCCTACGACACTATTCTAATGGGCAGCTTGGATGTGTATCATATACTCTACACACCCATACATGTGAGTATGGGCTCACCAGACAGTTTGCACACCGCTAGGCCCTTTTTCTTGTCAGGCGAGCCTTTTTTGGTAGCTCAACTTTTGCCGGACACCCATTAGAATTAGTAACCGTCACGGCAGCATTATGTAAAACATAATGATGCTTCGCCTGCCTAATTGATGTACGTGTCTGTACCCTCATGATGGAATAGGGGTATCCCCCGAGCATGAGCACACATAATGCATGAGGTCCCAACATTTTTTCGTTTTTATTAACATTTAATACAACCCGCTAGCATTTTGTACATATCATATTGTTTTTCATATCATTTCAAATATCGTTCATCATTCATATCATATCGTTTCTCATTTTTCAGTTCTCATATCATACATAATTCTAACGGGGTTATATTTCATGTCATTTATCGTGATTTCATGTCATTCATATCATGTTGTGTACATACAATTTAAGAGACATAACATAACGTTCCATGTTTTTAACATAACATCTTCTCATACACATTTCATACCATAACATATCGCATCACAATGTATCATATCATAAACATGTCAATTTATCACATATTCTCGTCATAACATATTTCATATTATATCACAACATATATGTATCCGTCATTCACATCTCGTATCATAATCATATTATACCGTGAGTACTTTGTGGTCATATTGTTCCCTAACTTATCATATCCTTAACGTTCTTATACATATCACAGTCATATCGTTACATGAACGTACCTTAGTCATTGTTACAGGAACGTATCCTAACGCTATCGTTCTATCAATCTATCACAATCCTATCCCTTTCTACCCATAACCTAATCATATTATTTTATCAATCGATCGTGACCATATCGTTTTTATCAATCTCTCATATCCATAGCACTTCAATATGTAACCTAACTTTAAAATTTCATGAACATATCTTACTCCATTGTTACATTACGTTTAGTGCATTCTTCTCGTATCATATCTCAAACATATCATTGAACACATCGTACCACAAGTATTATCATACAATTCACATATCGCAACATATACATAATATATCATAAATATATCCATTCACAAACAATTCACTCATATCAATATATATGACATGTCCAGAACCATGATGCACGTGTCAATATCAAATATAACCATGCCGATAGTAAGATAACTTACCTGATTAGCTTAGGTTAGTGTCCCCAATGTATCTTTAAGAAAGTTCGATTCTGTCCATTGAAATCCAAGTCAACCTATGTGAGTCCATAATATTAGTTTCTAAGTTTGAACTTCTATAAAATTATTTCTCTAATTTATATTGGTCCATGCATTATACTTCATGAGAACATTAGAATTTTTGAATGAGTTAAATCTTGAAATATTTATATATGTTTGTTATAGTATTATTTTCATACCAACTATTTAATACCCTCAAACATTTTAGAGATATTCTATTTTCTATTTTCTATTTTTTATTAATGTGTTTAATACCTTTTAACATTTTGTATGCATTTCCATTTTGTTTCTATATTTCCTTTAAATTTCTTTTTATTCTATTAACAGCTATATTCTTCATTTTTTAATTTAATCCATTTATTTGTTTATTCTTTTACTATCATTCATATAAAATTATTGACAATCTAAATAAGTGTAACAATGCACTAGATCTAAAATATCATTGGTTGTGATTTCCTGAAAATAAACTAATGATAAAATAAGAGAAAGATTTAATATGTACTTAAAGAATGTAATTTTCTTTTCTTTCTTTCTTTTTTTTTAATTTAAAATGTAATTTTTTTATTTGTTTATTTTTTTTTGTTTACTTATTTATTTATTGTTGGGCTATTACACCTTTCATGTATGCGGGGCATAGCCATGACTTCGCCGAAACGTCATACTCTAAAAAAACAGAAGAAAAAAAAAGAAAACAGTAAAGTAGTACAAGACAAGGGTTTCGGCATGTCAAGGACATGCAGCTATGGATGACATGCCTTGGACAAACATGACCGTGACACTTAGCATACTCAACCAAGAGATAATAAATTAACAAAGGTAGGGTGAAATACTTATAAACATATTAAAAATGTCAGAGTTCTCAATTATGCACTCGTAAGTTGTAAAACTGAATAATATGCTAAACCGTAAATCGTGATGTCTTTTTTGGGCTTAGCTATCATGTAACTAGGTCAATTAGGCTCCTAAACGTGATTTCTAATGTTTTTTTTTTCTTTTTCCAATTTCCTAGTCGAACCCCACAAGGATCACAATTCATGATTTCTCAAAGATGGATGAGTTAAAATATAAATGGTATAAGAAGAGAGTACATATAGTTTGAAGTTTTTTTTGTAACGACCTGAAATTTTCTACTTAATTTAAGGTCGCTACTGTATACATATCCTAAACATTGAATGCGAAAGACTTCATTTAAATTCCATAAATCATATCATTTATCTTAAAACATAGCCATGAACTTCTATGTTTTGAAAACATCGACATAACAAAGGACTAAATAAAATAAATAAGCGTTTAATTAAAAACATCATATTCTAGCCTAAGTCTAAGAAAATAAATACCACTATACCATGCATGCACCATGTTCTCAAGTTGCGATGCCGTCGTCAACCACAAAGGAATGTCTTGCCTTAACCGGAAAAATGTAGCATCATATGGTTTGAATATTTAAATAAATACTCAGTGAGTGAGCTATTGAGATTAAATGCAAGAACATGTGAATGTAATGACGGGACCTATCCTTTCAATCTATTTTCCTATAGTACTATCCTAACTAATAATTTGGATATGTACCATATACTCTACCCATAGTCCGGGAGCCCAAAAATAAATAAAGAAATAAACAAATAAAAATAATTAAAAAAAAAGTTAAAATAACAATAATAATAATAAATAAACAAAAAAACAACATTTTCCCACTTTTCTCCACTAACCTCTCATCCCTTTCCACAATTAACAAAAAGAAACTGAAAAATAATAATTGTCAAATTTACCTGAGAAATAAAAAAGCAGGGTCTTTACCTAGTTGAGATTGATCCGAGATTTTCCTGAATATAGATCTTATCAAAATAAGGTATATATTAAATCTTCATTTTTTTTTAATATAGAAATTAAAGTCAATTATAGTTAGATCTTCATTTTCTTTTATCCTATTTTTTTTAGAAATCAAAGTCAATTATAGTTACATCTTCGTTGAATTATTACAATGGTTTAGCTTTGAGTTAGAAACTAAATGTCAATCATTTATACTAATTCTAGTAAATCACGTCAGATTAGTAATATTAGATTAAATTTATATCAGTAGCCAAATGAATAGATTAAAAATAGAATGACCAAAAAAATTTGTGAACAGTAAACACTAAGATAAAGAAATATTTGAAAACAGAGATCCATTGGAAATTTGGAATATATGAGAACAGAATTAAAATGCAACCGATAAAAAAAAAAAATTAAGGAATTAAAAACCACAAATAAATATAGAGTGAAAGGTAAATACAGAGAGTAGTAAAGCCGAGAGTAACTTGAAATAGCTGTATCTATTTTTTATACAACATAACCATGGAAAATAAGATTTTTAATAAAAATATAATTATAGATATATAACATTTCAAGACTTTTAATAATGGACCATAAATTAGAGAAATAATTTTGTAGAGTTCAAACTTGAAACTGATGTCATGGGCTCACATAAGTTGACTCGGATTTCAAAGGACGGAATCAAACTTTCATTAAAGATATATTTGTGACAATGATTTAAGCTAGCCACGTAAGTGACCTTACTTTTGGCATGGTCATATTTGATGTTGACACGTGCCTGTGGTTCTGCACGTGTCATATATACTGATATGTGTGAATTATCTGTGAATTGATATGCTTATATTATGTTTATGTTATGTTATAATATGTGTATTGTATGATAATAATTATGGTACGATGTGCTCAAGGATATGTTTGAGATAAGATACCAGCAGGATGCACAAAATGAAATGTAACGATAGGAGTAAGATACGTTCATGAAACGTTAAGGTTAGGTTACATACCGGAATACTGTGGATAGGAGAGATTGATGAAAGAATAAGGTTAGGTTACATACCGGAATACTGTGGATAGGAGAGATTGATGAAAGAATAAGATTAGGTTATGGGTAGAAAGGGATAAGTTTGTGATAGATTGATAGAACGATAGCGTTAGGATACATTCCTGTAATGATATGATTAAGGTATGTTCACGTAAT